AGCACCATTAACTCAGCCCTCCTTTCCCTGACATTAGCACAGCCCTGCTCAACAGACACAGACAAGCAAACAGAAGGAGCTTTTTATAGGGTTTATGCAGAGAAGCAAGGGGGAGCCTCTGACGAAAGCCTTATGCACAATAGAGCATAATTTCCTTTGAATGGAAAGCTCAGTTTGCAAAAGTAATCTCAATGTCTGATAACCTCACATCATTCCCATTGTGACAGTGCTCAATTTTCCCGTGGCACAGAAATCCAGGTTCTTGCAACCCATAGTCAAATCCAGATGCAGCCTTGATCCTCTAATAGTGAAAATCCCTGATCGTGCAGAGCTGGCCCCTCCGAGATCCATATTAGGAAGCTGCACAAATGGGAGGCCATAAAGCCAAACCCTCCTCTTTCATAGAAGACTGTTTGGGGTTTGTTTTGGTTTTTTTTAAACAGCTGAAAGCACAGTGACTGTGGAGGTATTTTGTTGACAAATGAAGAAACTGAGGCCGGGGTAGGTCAAGTCATCAGTGAGAGGTGCAGAGTGGGGAGTAGTGGAGTGGCTCCTCCAGGGGAAAGGAGCTGCCTTTCCCTTCTGCAAAGAATCCAACAGAAGAGAGGGAGGGAGACTCTGTGGAGTTAGTAGGTAGCTCGAAGGAGAGGAATGGGGAAATCTAAAAGAAGGGGAGGGGAAAGAAAACAGATCATGGGGAAATCTACATTGTTGGCAGCCGTGTACAATGAGCATCGGACGCTTACCCCTAATGCAGAAACCACGAGGAAGCCAGCAAAATGATTTGGAAAGGATAATATGGTCCTCATGACAGGAAGGGAATGCAGTCCCTTTGGCTGGAGAGTCTCAGCAGCAGGGTTTTGGGCAGACCGATTGGAAATGATGCTCTCTCCGCGACTGTGTTGGAAAGCTGGAAATCTGTGGTGGCAGGGGGCCCCATGGAGGACCTAGGGGAGAGGAATTGGAAAGCAAACCCTGGCACAGCAGGCCCTGCAGGTTTTCTGTGGACTGAGGACCACTGAGTTGTGCCCTGCAGGAGTGACCCATGGAAATGGCCCATTGTCCCCATCTAGGGAGAGGACAGAGAGTCAGGGGCTGCACAGTGGGGGCGGAAGAGGACAGGGTTGGGGCGGCGCTGGCCCTCCTCCGATGTGGAGGCTGGGAACCAGGGCACACACCCAGCTGCACTTCGTGACGGTGACACCCCCTGCTGTCGGGCACTCCTGGTGGCAGAGAGACCCCCCTCCTGCTGACAAATGGTCTCTGGTGCAGCTCCACTAAGAAACCTGGAGGCCCGAACTGTTGATGACAGTGTTTCCCTAAAACGTGCCCATATGCCGTGTTTTCAAGCTTCTGTCTTTTCTGTTTCTCTGCTAGCATCTCCCGCGTGAAAAGGGAGAAAAAGGAAAAACATTCCCAAGCGCCCTCCTCCCTCCCTGTCTGCTACCTCAGTAGGAAGTCTGGTAACCAGATTCCCGTCTTCCGGCAGCCCCATGTCCCTCCAGACTCTGCTCTGACCACCCTGGTGCTCAAGCCCATGTGTAGCCCCTTCCCAGTCCCTGTCCTTCACCTCCCACATACTAGGTAAAGCCAAAGTCTTGGGAAAAGTGACTAAAAGAGGGGAACTCGCAAGTTCTTTTGGTAACAAAAATATGAAACATCTAAAAAGAAAAATGAAGTAGGCTCATCTCTGTAGGAATGTATAGAGTAAAACCCATTTCTGCTAAAAAAAGAAATTCTTGAAATGATTTATCAAAATTCTTATAGCTGAGAATACTATTCCTTTAAATGTGAACTCAATCCACTTAACCTGGCTATTGTTTGTAGAGTCAAAACCAGCCTAAGCCTTGCTCAGCGGGCATCTCCGGACCGTGCAGGCGGGGAAGGTGCCATCGGCCAGGCGGGCTCTGGCTTACAGGCGGCGGGAAGAGAGCTGATCCCACGCACACTGTCACTGTCAGCCGAATGTGCCTTGTCTTTTTTCCCACTTTTCTGGCAAAGCTGTCATTGATATGTTTTGGTTTGGCCCAGGGTGTGGAATTGGTTACATATGGTCCCCATGCTTTGAGGAAGCCTGAGGAGAGAAGGCACGAGAAGAGAAGGAAGGGGAGGAGGGGAGGCAGGAGGCGGAGCGAGAATAGGAGCAGCCATGTGACTGATGGTGTGGGCCTGCCGGTGGCCTGCGTGGGTCTCCGGAAGCGGGCTGTCTCGGGGGGTGCTACATGTTTAGGGTCAAGTCGCTCTATCTGCTGTGTCTGGGACTTGGGCAGAGCACTGGAAAAATTGGCCTGACCCAAGTGGCCAATTAAACTTTCCATTGGCAGAGATAGAACTAAGAGTTTAAAAAAAAATACATGAAATCTTTCCATTTGAGTAGTTTGTTTTTTAATGAAATGAAACATTTACTGACATAAACTCTACAGAGCAATAGGAGAATGATTAATTAAACTCTGTGGTGCCATTTTGGACAGTCTCAATGCCAGAATAAAGCATTAGAAGGCGTTTGGGGCCGGGGCGGGGGGAGGTGAAACCCCTTCCAGAAGAGTCCATCAGGCCTTCCGAGGTTCAGACCTTCTGCCTGTCTTTCCTCCCAGTTCCTACAGGCTCCTGGCAGGGGCAGGACAAGGGGGATTTCTGCAGGCTCAGGTTGTGTGGCTTCTGAGATATGAAACCAAGGACTGTAGTAAAACACAAAGCAAAGGCTTCAGAGAATGCATCCTCATACATGATTACGCTGGCTTCCTAACCTTTCTGGGCTAGCTGGAATGTGATCGCTGCCATCACTCAGGCCAGAGCGTCCCGGCCAAAACTCTTGGGGCCCGATGTGCCCAATAATCAGACTTTTTTTTTTAAAGAGCATCCATGCTATGCATAGACCATCCCTCAGATAACATCCTCAAGAGGCTGAGGCCACATCCATATTCAAATAAGACATTCTTACTTCTATAGCAGTATGTATGAATACAGAAAAACAGTAATCAGCCTTGGGTTTTATGGCCAAATGAGGTCAGTTCCGATCAGTTTTGCTGCCAGGTGAGTTAACAGAACTTGGGGGTTTCCAGAGCTTTGGGTTTCGGGATGGTGGATAAGGAAATGCTAGTCCCTGTCTCTCACGCGGTTTGTCCAGAGCACTGCAGGACATTCTGCTGGTGCCCTCATGTTCTTCCCCCTGCTCCCAGCTCCCCGCCCCATCCTGAGTTTTCAAAATGAGGTTTCAGCAGTCGGAGGAGGATTTAAGCTAATTAGCCACAGAGCTGACCCAACACCCAACTGAAGAGGGCACCTGGTTCATTAAACCCCTCTCACTAAACCAAGGGTCACTCCCAAAATGGGAGCAAGGTTATGTTAGAATAATTAAATTGAAGGCCTACTTCAACACAGCAGGAATAATATATGGATTTTATCACAAGAAGTTACAGTGGCAGAGAATAAGAAAGCATTCCAAAAAGGCTCATATAAGCGTGTGACTGACAGGGCCGTGGCTCGCAGCCACGGGAGCCAGGAGAAACCCAGTTCCAAAAGGAACAAAACAAAGAGAATGGCAACAGACCCCGGAAGTCAGGACGGGGTTTTGCTCTGGGCCCAGGTCCTCCAGAGTTAAAGGGAGCTGCTACATGCAGATGCTGTGGTCTTCTGCTGCTATCCCTGAGACCTAGGGGAAGACATCTAGGTTTCTGTATGGCTTGAAATCAGGTTCTTGACTTTGTAAGTAAACCAGGTCAGAAGCTGGGGAGGGTTCCAGATTACAAGCTTGGGGCCAAGGAGCAGCCAAAACATACAAGTGCTTGGCGGGCAGTGGCAGAAGGAGAGACGGCAGGAAAAGGAAGGAGAGGTAGAGAAGAGTGTCTGGCAGTGATTGGAAGAGGGGTCAGGGCATGCACCTCACCCCACCTATGGTATTTCCTGCTCCGTCAGGAAGGCGGGAGTGCAGGGAGGCTGCCTGCCCCCCACCCCCCAAACGTCTCCTGTTTGTGCGGTGCAGTCTGAGGTTTTCAACATTAGGCAGCTCCCCCAGAGGGTCACAAAGGTCTCAAATGATAGATGGCCTGTCCAAGGTCATGAGTAAACACGGGCCCTGGAGGCGCCCTGTCTCCCCATCAAAGTCACCAAATCCCGGGGCACCTCAGGGTCACTGGGCCAGAGGGTGCCCAGCCATGGGGACAAGATGGCACATCTCAGCTGGTGGGGCACCAAAAGCTGGCCCAGGCAGAAGCAAAACGAATTTATGAAGTTCAGAGATGGAGTTTATAGATGCTATAAACATGGGAGAGTGTATTTTTCAGTCCATGGATTTCTTTTTTTTTTTTTTTTTTGGTCTGCCTCATTCATAGTTTTTCATCAGTTTAACTGAACTGTAATTTACATACAACAGAATTCAACCGTTTTAAGAACACAGTGAGTTTTGACAAGCATAAACAGCCCCACCACCACATACAGGATATAGAACAGGAGCTGACAGATGACCGTCTGTGGGCCAAATCCAACGCCCACCTGTTTTTGTTTTGTATATTTTTAAAGGGTTATTAAAAATAGTAATATGCGACGAAGATCATATGCAGCCCACAAAGCCTCAAATATTTGCTCTCTGGCCTTTACAAGCGGTAGATTGCTGACCCCTGACACAGAACATTTCCATCACCCCTCCGTTCCCCGCAGCCCCTTGTCAGGCACTCCCCTCCCCTCCCGGCAACGACTCATCTGCTTTCTGTCACTGTAGCTTTGCTTTTTCTAGAACTTCACATAAATGAAATCATACAGCACGTTGCCTTTTGTGTCTGGCTCCTTTCAGTTACGAAGCTTTCGAGATTTGTCACCCAGCTTTCCGCATACAGCAATGGCACACTCGGTGCTCATTTCTGAGCGGGGCGGCGTCCCCTGCAGGGGCCGGGCTTCCTCGGCACCCCCCGCCCCCCGCCGCTCGGGGCTCGACTTGTTCTCGCCACGCGCAGGCTCAGAGGAGAGGGGAGTGGCGGCCCCGCACTCACTGCCTTGTCTTGCAGGCATGAACAACCGGGAGGTGCTGGAGCAGGTGGAGCGCGGCTACAGGATGCCCTGCCCGCAGGACTGCCCCATCTCTCTCCACGAGCTCATGATCCACTGCTGGAAGAAGGACCCGGAAGAACGGCCCACTTTCGAGTACTTGCAGGGCTTCCTGGAAGATTACTTCACCGCCACAGAGCCCCAGTACCAGCCCGGTGAAAACCTGTGAGACCGGGGTCTGCAGAGAGAGGCCTTCCGGCGAGGCTTCCCCGCCCCCTCCCCATTAGCTTTCAGTTCCGTAGCCAGCTGCGCGGGCAGTGCGAGCCGTCCCGGATCAGATTGCATGTGACTCTGAAGCTGACGAACTTCCATGGCCCTCATTAATGACACTTGTCCCCAAATCCGAACCTCCTCTGTGAAGCATACGAGACAGAACCTTGTTATTTCTCAGACTTTGGAAAATGCATTGTATCGATGTGATGTAAAAGGCCAAACCTCTGTTCAGTGTAAATAGTTACTCCAGTGCCAACGACCCTAGTGCTTTCCTTTTTTTAAAATGCAAATCCTATGTGATTTTAACTGTCTTCACCTGATTCAACTAAAAAAAAAAGTATTATTTTCCAAAAGTGGCCTCTTTGTCTAAAACAATAAAATTTTTTTTCATGTTTTAACAAAAACCAATCAGGACAGGTGTTTGGTTTTTTCTTTTTTATAATATGAATATATATAATATATATGTCCCTGTATATACGCCATGTGGGTGCTAATGTGGAGACCATGGCCCACTTGGGCCGTTAACGCCTCGGGACCCAGAGTGAGGATTTTACTGCCAAATCAGCATAAAAGCACTGCTGTCATCCTGCAAACCAGTGGCCTCCTTTTTGGCTTTTGCAAAGCATGATCCTTTTTCTTTTTTCTTTTTTTTTCTTTTTTTTTTTAATTTGGATTGCACTTTTTTGGTTCATGATTGTACCTGTAGATGGCTGTTCCTTTGACTCTTTTCAAGCAGCCCCAGAGCTGAATTCACAAGTTCTGTTTCCAGTATTTGCTTTGACTTAACTGCGATTTGTTCTCGAAGTCTAAAAGCATATTGAAGCAAGCAAATGGCCAATAACTACCAGGGGAACTGGAAGATGGATACCACACATACTTCTTGTATAAAAATATGAATGCTGAAATGTTTCAAACTTTTTTTATTTAATAAACCTTGTAACCGCATTTAAATGGTCTAAAACCCATAGCATCAGAGTCAATGTCATGGCGACCTGCTAAACTTTCTCATGCAACTAAAATTTCTGAGGGTGGGGGTTGGACATTTCCCATTGTAAAATACGTGTTTTAAGCGTCCTGTACTGCTAATGAAATGACTTTCTCTATGTCCAAGAAGTCTCCAGTGGAATAACTATGCACTACTTTACATTTCATGGGGATGCACCGAAAAAAGAAAAAAAAGGAAAAAAAAAAAGTATTATATTTTTAGTTGCTGTTTGTACCAACCTTGAATTACATGTTTAACGACAACAAATCAAAAAGCCTATTTCTATTAAGTTTTTAATACTGGGTAGCAACTCTGAAATCTTAATTCCTTTTTTGTTACGATTTATTTGTGAGTTTACATTTTTAAATTGTTTAACTTTCTTAATTTAGTAATTAAAAAGAGAGCATTTTACATTTGAATTTTTTTTCTTCATTTGTTTAAATCATGGAAGGTGCTCTAGTAATGACGTATCTGTCCCACACCAGGTGATAAGGAGTGCTCTGGTCCGTTGAACCATTGTGCAGTGACTTCCAAATGAGAGAAACATTCAGAACACTGGCAGTGGGTTCTTCCCCCTAGAAAGGCTGGACCATTGTCAAGCTATTTCAGAGGATTATTAAAGCAAGATTAAGCATACTTTCACATTTTAATCTATCAGACATGGTCTCTAACTGGAATGTTCTGTATCCCACTTGTAGGAGGAAGACAATTACAAGAAAAATCTTTATTGCCCTAGAGTCAGTATATGTGTTTCCCGTGGTCCTCTCCCTCTGTAAGCGTGTCGCTAGGCAGGAAAACAACCCTGTGTGGTAGGAGGGGCAGTGGGTAGACTGCATGACCTGTCCAAGTGCCTGGCTGTGCACTCATTCAGCTGTGGGACCTTCAGCAGCCATCTGCCACCTCTGTTTTGGGTCCTGTCTGTAGAGATGGGTTTCGATGAGATCTGCCGTAGGTTCCTACAGATCTAAGATCCTGTAATTCGGAGATCATTGCTGTCATGTGGAGTTATACAAGCGGGAGAGTTCTCTTGCTGAAGTAACCTTTATATTTAGAAAGGGTTTCCAACATTTAAAAAAAAAATGGATGAAACAAAGGGATTTTCTGGTTAACCAGGGCTTTCTGGTATTGTTTTAGTATTAATGCAATTGCTAAATTTATAAAAATTTCAAACACCTTCGACAATTACTATCACATTACTGGGCAATTTATTAACATGTTCTAGATATTTTTAAAGATAACTTTGTTTTCATCTTCACATCCCACTAGGTTGGATAATTTGCAAATATTCTCCAAAGGATTGTTATTTATGTTTCTGACTCAGTCATTCAAAAAAAAAAAAAACTAAAAAAGTTATAACCTGCTTTAAACAGAGATTCTTTAAGAGAAAACTTAGTTTCTTCAAATCAAAGTGTAGCCTTTAATTCATCAGTTGAGTTTGTTGTGGATTCTCTCCTATGAAGCAGAACTAAGGACTTGGGTTAACTTGAGGTCACTATGACAAAATGTTCTGAAACAGTGTGGGGCTGCAGGATGAAAGAGTACCTGCAGATACAGAGAAATCAGATATGTTTTCAGGGTTTTTCTTCCGAAAGTTAAGTGCTGCCCAGAGATATTCCTGAGGTAGACCAGTCCAGGCAAATGAAACCACGTCCAGGGGTTCCCAACACCTCCCAAGAAGCCTCTCTCCCTCCCAGGTTGTAGAAGCGTGGAATGAGGAAACTGAATTCACTGACCAAAATGATCTCTGGTTAAGAAAGAAGAACAACAGGCACACCTCAGAGATAGTGCAGGTTCCAACCCAGACCACCTCAATACAGCAAGTCAAATGAATGCTTCGGTTTCCCAGTGCATATAAAAGTGATGTTTACACGATACCGTAGTTTAGTAAGTGTGCAAGAGCATGTCTAAAAAAAAGTACATGAACTTAATTTTAAAATATTACTAAAAAATGATTATCATCTGAGCTTTCGGTGAGCTGTAATAACTGATCACAGCTCATCATAACAAATATAATAATGAAAAGGGGTGAAATACTGTGAGAACTAGCAATATGACAGAGACACGCAAAGTGAGCCACTGCTGTTGGAAACACGGCGCCAATTGACTTGCTCGACGCAGGGATGCCACAAACCTTCCATGTGTAAGAAACCGAGTATCAGCGAAGCACCGTATAACGAGGTATGCCTGGGTCTTGAATGGTACCTTAGCAGCAAGTGATGGTGAAATGGTTTTTGTCTTTAGGACCCTGGTAGTGAATAAGTACTCGCTCTGCTGCCTTAGGAGAGCGGGCATCTGGCATTGCTGCGCTGCAGAGGGGGACTTCTTTTTTTTTCTTTTTTTTTTTTTAAAGATTTTATTTATTTATTTGACAGAGAGAGACAGCGAGAGAGGGAACACAAGCAGGGGGAGTGGGAGAGGGAGAAGCAGGCTTCCCGCTGAGCAGGGAGCCCGATGCGGGGCTCGATCCCAGGACCCTGGGACCATGACCCGAGCCGAAGGCAGACGCCCAACGACTGAGCCACCCAGGCGCCCCAGAGGGGGACTTCTTAATACACTATTTCTTTTTACTTTCTTAAAATCAAATAATAGAGTGACTGGACAAGACCACTTGACAAAGCTCAGACGTTGAAAATGTGACAACACGATTCCCATTCACCCAATGCTCACGGCAGCTCACACTCTCCGAGGCGCTTCGTTCACGGTGCATTGATGGGCTGGGAGGACCCGCGAGCCAGGAGTGGACGCAGGGCCTCCCACGGGCTGGGGCATCGGGGTGTAGACCCAAGCTAATAATGCATTTGGCTCTGACTCAGTCATGGCAAAGAAAGGTGTATGGGGAACCAGGCAGCTCCCCCAGAAAAATTAAGGGTATTCATAAACCCTCAAATACAGCCACAGTACTGAAGATTTTCTGACAAGTGCCGGAGGGTGTTTACCTGCCTGGAGAAAGACAGGAATCCTCCTGTGGCTAAATCTTGGCACCAGAGGATTTTTCTAGTAGCGTTGGAGCTGCAAGATTTTTATCTGAAATTTCCTCTGGGACCTGAAGAATGTATACTGCACTAACTGGAACGGTTCTTTCATGAGTCTTGAAAGAAGGTGAGGTTTTCGGCAGTATGCAGAGGGGAGCCTACCGCAGGAGGGATGTCATCCGTCCTTGTGTCAGTGCTCAGGACAAGGGAGCCTCGCTTGACAGAAGAGGCATTTCCTAACAAAGTTATATTTGGATAAAATGGTGTTTGGTGAATTTGTTCCTGAAATGTAGTCTAATAGGTTTAGATGGCTTTTGCTGGCTTTCTTACCACTCGATACTATACTGTGGGGATTCAGTTAGGCTGTCCAAAATATTTGCTGGAAGGAAGAAAAGGAGGGAGAAGGGGGAAATAGGAGGAAAAAAAAGGAAGGAAAGAAAAAAATAATCTGGGGGTAGGGGGAAGGAAGCTCAAAACTTTTATTCTAAAAATGATATTGTGGGGTACAGATTTAACAAGTGAGTACCAGTAATATATGTTTATTTAATTCTCAAAAGTAGATGACATCTACAGTGAAGAAAATAATGAAAAATTAGTGTCTTTAATATCTTTGAAATCTCAAATAGACCTTCGTAATCTATATATACCTATCTTCCCAGAAACCTTTCATAATAAATTCCTAAATCATGCCTCATTCTTTTCAAACATGCAAAATATCCAGAGCCCCATGGGGGCAGGGAGAGACATGACTTTATTTTCAAAATTCTAAGGACTGAAAATAAAAATAAGAGTTTTCCCAGCTTGGCAGGGACTATTCTAAGGAGAATGTGATCAGCGACAGACGACGGCTCCACCAGCAGCCAGAACACTGTGCCCCTTTCCGGAATACTTACGACTCTTGTAATGCTGTGTTTAATAATATGACTCTTCTTTTAATGCACCTTCCCTGCCGGACCGTGAGCTCCATGGGATCGGTAACTGCCTAACAGGTTCACCAGTGTTCTCCCTGCCCTGAGAGCAACGATGAGCTGCTGGTCGACATTGAATGGGTGGATGGTGGCTAAGTGGGTGAGGCCGTCTAGTGGGGCATATGACTGACCTGCAAATGATGCCCTAACCTAGGCCCGTGCCAAGCACACTGGGATTTGCCGTGAGCTGCCAGCTGTGCTAGCCCTGGCCCCTGCAAATGTGTTGTCACCAGTCTTCAGTATGTGATTGAAGTGAACCCCATTAGTGCTTCCCAAGTCTTTGCCCAGAACCCATCCCAACACTAATGCTAATAAACTCGTCCACCCTGGGACCTGGGACCTTCAAGGTCTCATTCCAACTTTGTACTTTTATGAAAATTTGATATTCTCCCTAGGATATCCATTTTTTATCTTCACATAAAATTATTTTCCCAGACCTTCAGGTTGTGCATTGTTAAGCAGACTACAGCTTGTAGGATTCCTGGCACACTCCTGCACCATCCAGGGAGTACCTGCACCCTGCTTGAGAACCACAGCATGAAGATGTTGTCCATAAAATATTACTATTAACATAAAAATAATGTATTTGGGAGAGGTGACATTAACCCCCATTAATATGGATTCTCTTATCTGATTCGCTTTTTTCACCCAGCAAAGAACAGCCCTCTGACTGAGAATGGGACTGAAGACAGGAGGGTTTGATAATGGGAAGAAGAAAACCATCCAGAGCCACCCAGAAGTGAAAGTCCGGTCAGGTCAACCCTGTTGGTCCAAGATGGCAGCAAATGGGAGTAAACAGGATGGAGACACTGGACAAGGAGGAAGAAACCAGAGCTGGGATGAGAGGAGTCCTTTGCCAAGGCTGCTCAAGGTAGTGGGATAATGGTAGATATGACTATGGATATATATAAGGACTTAACATTCGTTCCTTCTCCATACATTTGCTGAGTGCTTATTATGGGCTAGCCCTTGTGCTAGCACTAGAAAGTCGGAGACAATATTCCCAGTCCAGTGAGGATGGAGACCCATAAAAGATTGTTGCAATAAGCTCTCTGCAGGGCACCTCTGTGGCTCAGTAGGTAGAGCATGTGACTTTTTTTTCCTAAAGATTTTATTATTTTTAAGTAATCTCTCTACCCAGCGTGGGGCTCAAACTTACAACCCTGAGGTCCAGAGTCACATACTCTACCAACTGAGCCAACCAGGTGCCCCTAGAGCATGTGATTCTTGGTCTCAGGGTTGTGAGTTCAAGCCCCATGTTGGGGGTAGAGTTTACTTTAAAAAAA